AAGGCCTGCATGTACTACAGCGTTTTTTGTTGCTGCTGTGTAAAATTGCATGGATGCAACTTTTTTCTAAGCCGTTTCTGAAAATATACCATGTTTGTCTTTGTAAGGATGAAGCCTAAATCGGATGATTGAGATTCTGGAGCGTCTGGGGTGGAGATTTGGGGGTTTTTGTTAAGTTTTCTGTGCTTTACCTATTGAAAAGGTGCTGAACATGTGGGCATTTCCACTCCTGGCATCTTCCAAAGGTACTTTTCTACATAGGAATGATCTTTCTGCCCTTCAGATAGTTTAGGAATTACCTTTTAGAATTGTTCCCTAAGTGATGAACAGTAACAGTTGCAATTGACTTTGCTTTGCCATAGCCCCTAATATCAATCTGCACTGTAATGGATCCTTATTATCTGGAAACCAAGATTTATTAATATTCATCAAGAACAGTTGGTTTGGCACCAGTAAACCACCCCTCACGCTAACCCTGGGTTTTAAAGCATCTACTTTATTTATTTTATCCGTTAATTATTATCTATGATTAATTTAAACCTGAACTACATCTTTCAATAAAATATCAATTATAAATTATCATAAATCTTTATAAACTTACCGCTTTATCGGCTTTCAGCCAGAGATTACTTTTATTTCCAGACCAATTAATTTCACTTTATTTTTAACACAAATTATATGGAAAAATGGAAAAATCATTTCCAAAGTTAGAGATTTGTGAGAAAAACAAATGCAACCAAAGCATCTATTTGTTTTATTAACAAAACCTATTCAGCTCCAGAGCACCGGCTGTCAAAAAAAGCTCTTCATGAAAAAAAGATTATTGAAGGAAATATATGCAGCACAAGAGGCAGCACGGATTTCCGGTGTAAAAGCCGGAATATTTCCAAAATACTCCCTTCAGATGCAGCTATTTATGTGGAGAAATGAAGCATCACTGTAGCTAATTTGTGGCAAATTGATCCTAGACACTTGGGCTGTCATCCATCCTCCTGCTTGTGTGTTTAGACTGCCATTTATTCTTCATCTGAGGGGAATAGAGCTGCGAGGACAAATGTGTCATCTTACTGCCTCTCTGAGGCCCCCTGTCACACAGGAGCCGCGATGATGAAGGAGCCTGCCTAGGAAGGATCCACTCCTGCTTTGGCATCAGAAGGCTCTGCGAGCGGAAACCAGCCTTCAGAAGAACACCAGGCCGTGATAAATCTAAACATGCGATAACTAATTCCAAGTTTATTATTCAAACAGCAAACTGTAGATCAAACAAGTCTTGAAGTCGCTGTACATTTGATTTAAGAATAAGATTAGCCTCTTTAACCAAGGTGGCAAGACTTAGGGTCAAATAATTTTGATTGTGTTTTTAGTAGTTTATTTTAAAACACACATCATTAACCAGAATAAAATTTAACACACCATCTATCCAGACTGTCAGTCAAAAGGCAGTAGAAAGAACTGGGGTTGATTATTTTCTAATTACAAGTCGTTAAGAGGTCATCCAGCTGCTTATCCAGTCCATAATACCTAGAAAAATTCTCATTATATCTCTGCTGCGGCATAACAATGAAGCCAGTTCAATATACAGCAGAGAAATGGGAAAAAGGAGGAAACAGAACTTTAGAAGGTCAACGTGTGTTTGAATTAATGTTCATAAAATTGTTTCAGGAAATTAGAGACTGCCTCCCACCTTCACCATGAAAACCCCAAACCATTCCTGTAAATATTAGTTCCGTATCTTCGTTCAGACGGTATTTCGAGAGCAGGTTGGCTCTGACTTTATGGGATTTGAGATATTTATAGAGGTGCTTTGAGACTGAAAAGTAGAACTAAAAACCAAACAAAAAATGTTGAGATACAAACAAGCACTCATGATGTTGTGTTGCATACAGAGCTGTTCTGGATGACTTAATGCAAAGCTCAGCTTATATCTGGATGGCACAGTCCCAGTGGGTTTGGTGGCCTTTGCTGTCTTGTACCTGCACACAGGTGTGGAGAGCAGTGGGAGATGACTGTGTGTAAAATGAGACGGGATTTTTAAAAAGGGCTCACGGCTGAATTTTAATTTTTAATGCAGAAACACGTATATATCAGTCTATAACCCTCCCACAAACAAACACTCACCTATACTCAGTCAAATGTGCTGGCTACCATTTATATCCTGTGATTTTCAGACATTTTCACCCCTTTCTATGCCCTAACCCTAAACCTAACCCATTACCTGTTAATGTCACGATTTGGCTATGGTTAGTTGACCCAAAAGCAGAGGAAGGGAGGCAGAGGTGAATCTCTTGTGGATTTAATAATGAGTACACAGAAAACAGAGGCAGGTTATCCAAAAATCCAAGTACAAAAACAGAGTCCAAACAAACATGAAACCAGGAGTCCAAAAATCAAAACATAAAAACTAGTCAAAATGTACCAGAAACCATGGAGACATCAGAGGAATCACTATCATAAGGAGGAAGGCTCAGAGAGAAGGAGTTGGAGCATGTTTGACGAGGATCCAGCAAAGAGGAACTGAAGAGAAAGGCTTTTTAAAGGAGACTGAGACAAAGAGAGGGCTAATGAGGAAACTGGAAGCAGGTGTGCACAGAACAAGAGCGGGAAAGAGCTAGGGAAAAAAGAGAACATAAGAGGGCAGCAGAGGGCAAAAAATAGAAAGCTGGAAGACTGGAAATAACAACAAAATAATAATTAAACTACTAGGACTATAAAACATGGAGAAAAGAAAACTAAACACTCAAAAGAAAGCATAACAGAACCCTCGACTTGGATAGTTACTGGAAAAAAAACAAAGAACACAGCAAAATACAAATAAAACCACTAACACTAGAAAACAAGAAGTAAAGCAAGACTGAATACTCAAAAGAAAAACATAACAGAAACCTGACAGTTAATAACCATAACCTCAACTCAATTGACACCTTAGTGTCAGGACCAGCAATATTTCCTTACTTTAGTTCAAATTTCCCTCAATTTAATGGTAACCATGTGCTAATTGATCCTCATTCTGATGCCCAAACAAGAGCAGTTTGTCCCACTGCTGTCAGCCTGATGAAGAGTGTTGTTGCATAAGAAACAGAAAGCGAGTTTAATTCACAAGCTTCACTTCTCTGGATCCCACTATCAGATTGATTCTGATCAGAAAAACCTTTTAAAAAGCGTATTTAAAAGGTTGGGGCGCTTTTTTCCAGAGTTGATGCTTCATTTGCTCCATCTAGTGGCAGAAACCAGGGGGTTCAACAGCAGTGGGCAAAGAAAATGAAATGGTTCTATTAATCTAAGCAACTTTGTATTTTTTCCATGTAATATACTATGAGCCCCCCATCCCCTCCCCTCCCATCTAATTTGAAAATAAAAGTAAATTCCCAACTTTTATATGATTTCATATGTTAATAAGAAGTTATGTTTAATAAACAAGAGCTTTGATATGATTCATATTTTTGAAAGGATTTCCCTTGTAGCATCGCATGTCATGGCATATCTATATGCATGTGATTTTTTATTTAACTGTTATTTAAATGTTGCTGATCATTAATCTTGACTTAATTATTATCATTAAAGTTATTCTGTTATTGCTCTTTTTTTGTCTTTTACCAGTTTGAATTATTGTTTGTCTTATTACTTTTATTATAATTTAAAAACACATGTATGAGACATAATTTATACTTATAGTCTTTATATTTTTATTCTTTACTTTTATAGTTTAATTGGTGATGATTCTAAACTGTAAAACTTGAGCAGTTGAATTTAAATAATTTGAGGAAACATTACAATAAATCATTTATGTTTATTATTGAGTAGAACAGACAAATCTAATTAACTTTTCTGGTAACATGGGAAACTATTTAATTTTAAAGGCACACATAATAATCATACAACTAACAGTTTTGACTCTTCATCAACTCACTTTACAGCAACATTGCATTCTTTCTTAACCCTTTAAAGCCCAAACCAAGAATAAAACAAAACAGAAAATTACTTTTTTTTTGGTTTGAAGTCCTTATTTGGCCTTTTAACAAAATATGTAAAAATAAAAAAACAGAAATACATTTTTGTTATTAGTAATTTATTACTATGCGATAAGTCAAGATTATTTTTTGTGTAGTCTTCTGCCCTCTGTTATCAGGTACCGGTATATCTGATTGTGTACAATAGGATTTTGAGCAAAGTTTTTAGCATTAAATTATGCAAAAGGTGTCAGACGCAAAACATTTCAGAAACTGTATGTATCAAATACGATACATTTGGCATTACAGGGTTAAAAACAATAACCTCAATTACAGAGTCACAGTTACTGTATAGAAAAACCCACTGTCAACTAATTAGCTAATGGAGTCACATTGTAAAAAAAATCTGCACAATAACTTCCTCATTACAGTTAAGTTTTTCCTAAAAAAGTTATTTCATTTATGCTTTATCATTAATCCTTAACATTTTACACTACCTAAATATATTTAAGTAACAGGGCTTTATGGGTTTTTTTATTTTTAGAGTTAATGAACTTAAGGTACTCAGTTTAATTGATTACTTTTAACATTTGGCTTTACAGTGATTGTATTTTTTTATTATGTCAATTATATGTATTTTTTTTAATTCATTTATATATTGTTTATTTGCTTATTTTTCGCATTTTTTATTTATTTTAGAGGAAGGACAGACAGACAGACAGACAGACAGACAGACAGAAGTGGTGAGCAATTGATATGAACAA